ATTAAGAGATAGATGAATATCACTCACTTTTGGGTAACTATGTATGAAATGATGCTGTACTTAACATTCATTCTTCTTTGAGCTTACCAGGACTCTTTTTCGATTTCGAGTTAACGAGAGTTTTTTCGATTAACTCGAAATTCGATTTCGAGTAAACCGAGTTAGCCTAAATTTAATATACACCAAATAGTATTTACCTGTATATTAATCATTCAATGAGCATTGATTTAAGCAAGTACTGCACTTTAATTTTCCTTCTGAATATTTTTTCCACCAAGAAGGAATGAAAGAATTTAAAACGATGAGTACAGAGGGTACAGCTTCAAAAAATCCATGCTTTATAAAATCAGCCGCTTATTAAAATTCAGAACCCAAGCAACAAATTCAAATGAATACAATATTATATAAAATAACTGCTTAATAAAAATCATCGCTACCAATTATAAAAATCAATTGTCTTTTAAAATTGTAAAGTCAAAACCCCAAGTTTGTGTTTCAAGTTCATTGATTTTGTTCAAAGTCTAACTTTCACACTTAGAACTGCAAATGCTAGAATTCAATCATGAACGGCGATGGGTTACAAGAAGTTTGACAGAACTGTCTCAGACCAGTTGGAATATACGGATGAAATGAGAACATTAAAAAACGTGAGGGAGAAACTATATAAAATATTGCCGTTTTTTTTTTTTTTTTTTTTTTTTTTTTTTTTTTTTTTTTTTTTTCTCACACAGTTCGTTTAGTTCACCCATCCACATCGTGCTTTTGTTATTCGGTCGTGGCCGAAAATGTGGAAATACAAGTTTTTAAGCTTAAAAGATAAAGAAGACCTGTTGAATCAATATAATACTTTAAAAAAATGTATCCAACGTGAAGCTTCTGTACAACTCGGAATTTCATAATCTGCATTATCTTCGTTGTTGAAAAGAAAGGTGGCAATTTCAAATGAACTGGTGGCAACTGCAAATGTCTCACGTAAGCGGAAGCAAAATGGAAAGTCTACCGATGCCGCCCAACCGGAATAGTGGTTAGTGACTCTGACTGCCGTATCGAAGTGCCCTTGTTCAAATCCCGGAGAAGGCATGAATGTTTGTAAATAGATAGTGTTTGCGGCATGGGGACACTCTAAATATGTGTTGAGCTGAAAGTCCTCTCGAGAAGTTGGTGATAGGGCAAGAGGGGTGAGAGACCTTCTAAGCAGTTCCCACGGGGTGTTCTCCATCAAATTTGAGGATGGAATTGAACAAAGTTGTAGTGTCTCCCGTATTGTGCGCGAGGCTCTTGCCAACGACAGGGGCAATCTTGCACTCCTTGCCAACATGAATTTCGTGGACCTTGTTCTGATGTTTCTGTCAGACAATTGAGATAAGCCACAGCAACAAAACTCTAATGATGTAGAAATTGCTCTCTTGAAATGGTTTCGAAGTGCCAGGAACAAGGATATCGCGAAAAATCCTGCATTAAAAGACATTAGAATTAGCCAGAATGCTGGGAGAGGAGTTTGTCCCTACTGTCAGGTGTCTCCCAAGATGGAAAGAAAGAAACAATATTGTTTTCAGAAAGTTACGTGGGAGAAACAAGATTCAGATTCTAATGAAGCCGATTATTGGATAGAAAAGCATTTAACCGGTCTTTCGCAAGAATTCAAACCGCATCAAATTTTTAACACTGATGAGACTGGTCTTTATTGTGGAGTCCTATCTTAGCACACTTTAATGTTTAAGAGTGAGTCGTCAGCTGGCTGTAAAAATATTAAACAACTTGTTACTCTATTATTAATGTGTAATATGGACGGAAAAGTTAAAAGGACTCCATTAGTTATCGGTACAAGCAAATACCTTCGTTGTCTGAAGGGTGTCAAGCATTTGCCTGTGACTTATTACAACAATAAAGATGTTTGGATGACAAGCAATAACATAAGTGATTTTCTTATGAAGTGGGATGAAACCTCCAGCAACAGAAAGTGCCACTCTTGTTAGATAACTACTCTGCCCATCCAACTGATCTCTCTCTGAAGAATATAAAATTAGTTTTCCTTCCTCCTAATTCAACTTCCATTCTTCAACCATTAGATCAGGGCGTTATAAAAGCATTCAAGAGTCATTACAGGGAAGGAGGTGCTTCAAAATGTTATTAAGGAAATTGATACGGCTGTTGCAGTTTGTTCGTCTAAGGAAATTGTTTTTTCTCTTAGATGCCACACATGTTATTTTAAATACGTGGGATGAAGTAACTTTGAAAACGATTTCAAATTGTTTTAAAAAAGACGGGTTCTACCCAAAGCAAATTTCTGGAAACTCTCAAGATGTGCCAAAAGGCAAGGGTGACGATGAAGAAGTGTATGATGAGACCTTCCTCGAATATCTTGGAATCAATTAAACTTATTGAAATGAAAGCGAGTCCGAAGATGAGAATCTCGATCCTCTACCAACAGCAACAGAGTCTCGACAAGCATTAAAAATTTTGAGAAAGACGCTCGTACTTAAAGGTGGCGATACAGAAAATTACAAGCAGTGCAGTGTCTTGGAGACACCGTTGCAATGCTACTAACAAGAAATATGCAACAAACTCGAATGAATTTTTAAATAAATGTTTGATATGCTTACATATTGTATTGATCTATTTAACATGTTCAAATATTGACTCTTTCTCTGAAATAAGACCACTTTTTTATCATCCACGAAAAAAAATAATGAATGTTTTATAAAAAGACGTGTCAACTTACATATTAAACAGCATATTTAAAAAGTGTATTGACCTCAACAGCAGGGCCGTGTGCAAGGACAGACAGGTTCAGAGTGAACACATTTCATTCGAAAATATTTATTGAAATTTTATGAAAAGTAAGTCTACTTTTAAATATTTTATTTTTATATCCCTTCCCCGAAAATATCCAAACTTTTAACCCTAACCTAAACGAAATTCTGTGTGTGTCCCAGCACCGCATCTAAAATTCAACCACTTTATAAAATCAAATAAGGTCGAAACGGATGTGACCGTAATAAGCGGTACCCTTTGTACATTAAAACGTTTTTCATAATACATTAAAACGTTTTTCATAACAACAAACGCAAGCAGATTAAGATTACGATTAAGAAACGCAAGCAAGATTAAAGCAAATTTTTAAATAAAATAAAAATAGAATTACATACCTTCATTTTATTATTTTTCTCTTGTTTTTTGACAATCAAATGACACTTTAAAAAACAATTCCTCTTGATAATACCTTTCTTATTTTTCATAAACTAATATAGCTTAAAATTCTGTACTTAATGAAGTAGCTTGTGATATTACCGCGAAATAATTTACTATAACTAGTAAACTATCCTTTTACTCTTCCGGAAATATGTAACAGAGCAACCTAATGATATTTAACAGAAATTTCAGAACTATTTTCTCTGCTTCAAGTTAATGCATTTAAATAAGGGAGCATATTCTCATGTTTGTTAATTTAATATAGTAACTCCTAAATACTGTGGAATATTTTGCCTTTAAGCTTTTAATAATGCAAATAAAACTTTGAAGCTAGTATACTGCCTCCTATGTTTGAAACATGCACAGGTTGTTCTATTGACCACTTAAGATCGCTCCCAAATTTATGTTTTACGAGATGAAATGATGAGATGCTAAGCATGCTTTGTATTTTATACCTCATATTTTTAAAAGCAATATCTAATGTGTGTGATTTATAACATAATATGCTTTCGCGCAACATATGTAGCATACAAAGGAGCGATTTAAGAAGTCTAAACATTTTCATTAGGTTTCATTAAATGGCTAGTTTTATTCTTCCAAGCAAGATAAAGTTACATCTGATTATAATATTGCAGGCTCATACCAAATTTTACTTAATGTAACATAAGGTTCCGAAAAAGAATACTTATATATATTATATATATATATATATCATTAAATTTAGTTGAAGAGAGTCATTGGAGGACGAGTGAAAGGAGCTTGAATTAACATTGTCTATTTTCTGTTTCCTAAGGCTTATTTAACTGATAATGAGCTGAAGCTACGTAAAAGTATTCAACAAGCATTTGCTTTAAACAAATCAGAAGAATTCGCAAAGAAATGGCTCTTGAATAATTCTACTTATTGAGGATATCTGTGAGCTTCAGTATAGTTTATAAAAGCTAAAATAAGACGATCATTTTACTTAAAAAATAATGTGAAGTAATGCTATACTAAGCTTATTATGAACTGCTTAAAAAACGAATAACTTAGAAAATAAACTGCATCCTCAAAAGCCTGTGTTTATCATATTTTCTGAAATAATAATGGTCTTTAGACATCTGGTTATTAAAGTGATTATACTCCAAATGTAAGAGTTATATGAGCAATGAAGTAACCTTGAAGGTGCGATACTTAATGCTGTAAATTGCTCCAGCAGACTATTGTCGTTTCTCGATAACTTATCATTGCATTTTTAAAGTGAATGTTTCAACGAATGCATTAGAATGCATTATGCCTTCACAAATAGTGCACACTTGAGGTATGCCGTGCCTTTAAAACGCTCATTTAAGTTGCACCTTAACTATAAATGAATTAACCTACGATGTCTTTTGGCGATTATTTGAATAATTCTACTAGTTATTTTGATTAAATTATCCTTTAATACTAAAAAGCCTGAGACTTAACAACTCCCTTAAAAGCCACCTGGTGTAACTTTCATCAATTTCATAAGAGAGCACTTAATTTATTAAAACCCTAAACAACTCTTCTTTCCTATTTTGATATTATTTACCTTTAGTAATTCTCAGTAACATTCGGACATACAAGATTACAAATTAGATTTATCCTACCCACGTAATTTGTATATATTTTAATATAGCAAACATTTAAGATGTTCAATTAGTAACTTTTTCCCAAGGATACAGATTTAATGAAAATTTGAGAATTAATATAATATTATAAATTAGCTTATTAGTCATTAAAAACATGAAACATAGAATTTAAAATTATAAGTTCATATTTTATATTATGGTTAAAATTTTTCTTACCTTCAATAATTAGTTGGATAACACCACTAGAAAAATGATGCGGATATAAATTGGAATTGGATACGACTGTGGGAAGAGCTGAAAAGAGAATATATTTATCACATGATGTAAAATAGTAAGTACTGATAACTTTTATTTAGAATAATCAGACATATATTTACGTTGTGCATTCAGAAATTTAAGGTAAATGTGAAAAATATATTCTTACCATTGCTGCACTTCTGATTTCTACACGTAATCGGATATTTGTTTTGGCCATCTTATAAATTATATGCATTTTTTAATTTAAAATTTCAGCTAAATTTGTTTGTTCTCAAATCGAACGCTATCCTTTCCCAGAATTTTAAAACCTAACTTTATTATGAAATCCAATCAAAATCTTCTTACAATTATATTAGGAAAAAATTCGATCTTTCTTCAAAATCACTGAGATCCTAGTAAAAGGTTGTCAATATTGTGAATGTGTGTATACCAAGAATCACAAATATAGAAGTTGTTTCTTATTACGCACGCAAGATTTTTAGAATTGGCTCCCTCAAAATCAGTTTGTTCGAAACTTAAGCAAAACAGCATAAATAACTTCAGTATTATGATAGGTGAATGATAGAAGGAAATGTGAAATTGCTGCTCATTATTCTAGAACGCTGCAAAGGACAACTCAAGAGAAATTTCAACAACTCAAGAGAAAAAAGTATTGAATAAGCATGGCATTTTTCTGAGATTATATACGTTAAGAAGACTAAGTTAATGATTCAAGCATATGAGGATAAAATTCAGGTGATCCGCAAAAATGATTACACTTAAATGGCCTCATCAGTTTTGTGTTTGATCATTCATACTCGCATCATAAATGGTATAATCAAATATAAGAAACTTGTTTTATATTTTAGGGCAATAACTGTAATATAATATTCTCTTAAACATCCGTCTTGAAATTTGGATAGCTTAATCAAGATTTATAGAAAGCAGTTCAAATTTTCAGTAGATGAAAGCGAAAAAGTAGCAATAATAATACAATTTATAGAATATAAATAAAAATAGAAGTTCCACCCTTTATCATGTAAGTATTCAAACTATAGAGTTTGTTAGGCCTTTTCAAGCAGGAAACATAAAAAAATCAGCTGTACTTCGAACCATTGATCTTCCAGCTGCCAGATGGACATGCTAATCCCTTGCACCACAAAAACACATACGAGAAAGGAATACAATAAGTGAGATTATTTCTCATAAACTGATGCAAAGTTTTCATAAAATGATGACTTTATGGAGAGTAGCTATTTATAAAGCTAAACCCACTCTGTACAAACAGTAGTCGACTTCAAGTTCTAGCAAAAGGATATAGGATTGAAAGGTGATGGCAAACAGTTCAAACAGAAGAAGAAAGATTTTACAAAGTCTTAGATAATACAATTTATTCTGCTAAAGCTTATGTTCTGAAGAAATCACAGAATAAATTATATGAGTATCTTTATGGTGTTGGAAATCTTAAAAAATTTCCCAAAGGAAACCTTTTCAAAATTTTCAAACATTCCTATAAACTAAGAGTGCTACATCTTCAGAGATTCATATGGTAAAAATTTTAAACTAATTAGAAACTGTCATAAAACCCATAAAACTGAAACATCTGTCATACAAGTTTCAGATCATATAATAAAAAATAATTTCTCCGCAATGAAATGCTGCTGTAATACTTATACAGCTATTAAAGCTGCTGGTTTTCGGTTGCATATGAATGAAACTTTTTCAGACATAAATTTTAGTAAACATTATTTATAAATAATCATTTCTAAAATACGTTTATGAGTCGAAAACTACCGTAAATGAGAAATGAAGTAACAGACATTTTGTATTTTTAGGGAATTTCTAAAATAATTTAATGTAAGAAAGCAAAAAATACTACAGTATAACATTCTGTTGCAAAGCGATTAGAATAATTTTAAAAATTTCATGAATAATGTTTTATTTGTATCTTCTGCAATTACGTTTCCCAATATTAAATAATTATAAAAAATATAATTATAAAATTATAATATATTTTAAAATAATTGCATTTCATATGTACTCTCAATAATTTAAGAAAAACGGCTATGGTGCAAATGCAAATTTATGTGCTTGATGAAAACATATATGGCAAAGTCAGATTTGAGAATCCTAATCTAATACAAATCATGAGATGTCTTCAGCCACCACATTTTATCATTTTATGGATTTATCGCTCATCGCTAATGACGATGACTTCAATTGATTTCGCATCACTAAATCAGCAACTGGTATGTTGCGAAAAGTAAACAACAGTTTGAAGATTATATCGTATAATGTTAATATAAGCCTCAAGGTACTGAAAATAAAAAGAACTCAAATTTTGGATCTTCCACTGATTCATAAGCATAGATATTGCACAGATATTGGTTGAAGGCTGCACGTAAACTTGCAATATGAAGTTATGTAGATATCCTGAAATACCACCGGTATATCTAGAGCTTTGAAAATTGCAAGTTTTATTTTTTCTTCAAATATTCCCTAAAGTCATTTTGCAGCAAAGAAACGTACGATCGCGTCTAAGCACCGTACTCGATTTTTTTGAAGGGCAAACAGATATCAACGATGATCAGTTTCTTTCATTAAGTATTATTATTAAAAATTTGCTTTTGAGTTTTACATTGAATGTTTTATATTATAAAGATGATTGCTAATACTTATTTTATGGTAACAAAAGACTATCATAACATAGTAAAATTAACTACAAAATTATCCTGGCTATCAAATCATTTTTAAAGTATTACGCACTTAAGTACGATTTTTAGCTCCGCAAGCCTTCATCTGTAAATTTTTATACTGCAATAGAAGACACTGACTCAAAAATATCGAAATATGTATTCTTTATCTGTAATAAACACACTTCTAACATAAAATTCTTGTGAAAGAAGTAACTTAATTGATTAATTCATATACGCAACCTATTTTCGAGTTATAGCCCCGGAGGAATAAGAAAAGCCATACGTAACATCAAAAATTAGAAGGAAAAAGTAATTTCAAGATCTATTTACTGCATCTACCAAGCAAAATTTTGTTAATTTTTTTTCACATTTTCCACCTTTTTACCTTTGCTTTACATTTTCTTATTTCACTGCAGACAATGTATTATAATCACCTTAGCATTATATGCCCTCTAGGGAAGGATTTACTTCAATAAAATAAGATACGGAAAAAATAGAACATGGAAAGGCGTCATTTTCTATGTATGTAATGCAGAAAAATTGCTCATTTCAAAGTCAGCTGTGAAGAAAGAGAAATTCGCTGGTTGTTTATTCTTTAGAGGTGACAAGCGGTATATTTTGGTATCCTATTTTTAAACTTTGCCGGAAATCAACTCTTTTAAGCTGGATAACAGAGTAGCTCCAGGGTAAGGAATTGGCCTTAGGATACACAAATTTAATTACATCGGCTGAAGGAAAGCTATTTTTGTACTTACACTTGATCTTAATTATCAATTATGCGCAACACTTCCTCAGTAGCAAATCTTCTATTCTCTGAAGCGAAAAATTTTGTGTATCAGAAAATGTTTGCAGGGCTTCTTTCTTTCGGATAAGTTACGCTGAAATGGATGATCGCACATTTTGATGTTACCTTATTAAACATTTCTACTAAAAAGCCTCTTCAATATTAAAATTCACTATTTCAGAATAAGAAATTATTCCTAATTCTGTTTACGAGAAAATTATTCATGTTCAAGATTGGAAATAAATGAATAAATGAAATTTATTTTTTATTTAAGGAGCCCGGCTTACAATTTCCTCCTTGCATAAGCTCAATTTACCTTGAAATATATTTATTTCTATTTCGTCATATATATTTTCTAATGAGATGGTGAGGTTATCATTACTGTTATTTCTTCTAATATTTTTTTCATGTTTCACTTATTCTTCCTACTTCCTCTTTTGAACACTCACTCAGCGTTGGTTGAAATTAATTTAATTTAAGGTAAATTGTCTTCTCACACAAAAAAAGGAGTGACCCTTTCTTCGTTCGCTCTTTTCGATAGCGAGATATCACCCGATATTCGGGTGAAACCACACACATTACAAGGAGTTATAATACTCTGCTTACTCCTTGATGGTACGATTTTTATATACTTATTTTATATTTATTTTATTTTCAAACTGAAAATTGGTGTTTTCTGCATGTAAATTTTATGGTTGAGGTAAAGTTTTAGATTTCTGGTTAATATTTTCTCTTGAAAAAATGTTTTACACTACTTTTTAACATGCTATTGTGATTTTAAACATCTGACATATACATCTGTTTAGATTTGCTATCTATGTACAAAAACATTTATTGGTGATGAATAAGATTATGAATCAAAGTAGACCCTATGTACAAAAACATTTATTGGTGATGAATAAGATTATGAATCAAAGTAGACCATCACTGAAATAAAAAGCACAGTTTAAAGACAATCATATCTTCATTGTTTGGACATATAGTTTTTCTTTCCAAATCTAACGAAATATATATTTCAAAAAATTACATCCACATTAAAATATTGGAAATTCGGTGTCATGTTACAATATTTAACACTCCGAAATACTTAACACAACCACTATCTCACAGTACTTCTGATATGAAATTCCTTTGAATACATACAATATATTTTATTTTACAGAAACATGGTTTTTCCCCTTATGTATGTGTGGTAAGTAATAAAAATAAGGAAATCAATTCAACGTATACATAAAACTGGAATAGCAAGAAATTCAGACTGAAAACTTGATTTTGTATAAAAAATTAGGTCTTTCAGGTACTTAAAACTTTGAATAAATATTCAGAAATTTTCAAAATTTTATTTGTGAAATCATAAATGCTTAGTTTATAAGGTATTTCTCCTGCCTTCTTGGCATGCCTTCGTGGTGTGGTGGTCTGCACGCTGGACGCGTATTCCAGAGGTCCGCGGTTCTCAGCAAAGGCGGTTGCATATTTTTCATCTTGCCTGCTTCCAAAAAAATACCTAATGCCTCTACAAGTTTCATAAAAGAAATTTAAAAATCATATGTAGTGATATACATTCTGAATTTTGTATA